AAGATTGTTGGAAATTGAATACAAAAATCTACAGAAGGCACATCAAACAAAGGGAAACAACACAATATGTTTGTTGTTTGTATTCCTATGCATTGTATTCTGTTGTTATTGGTTTGCATAAGTTAGTGTTGAGTTCTTAAGTGTGTAATCGGTGGTTTCCAAGTTGATTTTGAAGTTCTCAATATTTTAATTTGTTTCAAGTTGTAGTGTAATGTCGTTTGAAAAAAAAAATGACTTCAAAATAGGGATGTTCGGTTATCACTATACACAAACAGATCTTACATGTATAATTTTACAAATAACAAACCCCTTTTCCAGGCAATTCATACCAAAAAAATAATACTAATAATAAAAAAATAAAATAAAAGTGGATTTACCTAAAAATAAGCCTACGCCAACTACTTTAATACAAAATTATTATTTGAGCATACTGCATAAGACCTGTTAATTTTATTGCAAACCCTAACAAATATAAAATTTGAATTGCTAGTGGGCCTTGATTTATCGGGCCCAAAACATTGACCCAGAACGACCCAATTGACTGGTTACATATACAAGTACTAATAAAATATCTCGGGTCGCGACACCACCATATTTTTCTCTACATTCTTCTCGCTTTTGTCGATATTTTTTAGACGTAAACGGAAGAAAGGAAGAACAATTGTTCCGAGAATGACAAAGCATATTTCAGAAGTCACTACATTTATCAAGATCATTCATCCACAAGTTCAACCATTCCTGGTACCCAATTTATTTAAAGTTATTATGTAATGTGTTATTTTCTGGTAAACCCTAACTTGTTTTATCCTTAATATTTTTTTGCATACCATTTCATATTGTGCATCATAGACTATTCCACCTGCCATTGCTGGAGATTTCGATGGAATTCTACCCTTGACTTGTACATTTCATAGCGACAAAATTGACAGTGGACCCAAATGGAATATGAAAGTAGAAATAATTGGTGATGGGCTTGGTTTGACTGAGGGATGGGTTGATTTCAGCATTTAGAATGATATAAAATGGGCTGATTTTTTGGTTTTCAAATTAGTCAAACCGAATAACTTTGAGTTTTACCACTTCGATCATAGTTGGACACAAAAGAATTGGGTTACTCGTCGTTGCCATGTACCGGAAGAGATTGGCTGCAGTCGACCTCAATTATTGGAGGTTAACCGATTTATGTTAATGAACATCTACCACAACAGAAACAATTTGGTAAGTGTTATGTTTTGTACTTTCGATAATGACTTGTGCTTCATTTATATTACATCTGTTTGTATGTAGAATATTGTTTATATATGTTTCCTAATTACCGCTTACCAATTTTTGCCTACTTATTATATATGTGTTTATAATCGAATTGCTTATTTCACATGACATTATCATTTTTCTTAGCCTATCCCCCATATGATTTGGCGCACTGTCGAACATTTGCTTCCAATTGAATGCACCTTGCAAAACAGCAATGGGGATGATGCATTCAAATGGCAGGTTGTAATGAAGCGTCTTGGAGAGAAGATTGGGTTTGGAGATGGATGGGAGGACTTTTCAAGGAAATATTCTGTGGAAGAAAAAGACATCCTGCTTTTTGAACTTGTAGGCCCAAACAGGTATTTTTTTTTGTTTTTTTCAGTCACACGGTTATTATTTTATTT